GGGAAAGAGGAGGGGGACACGTTATATGTTCTCAAGGCCCTTTCGCAAGCATGGTAAGTATCCTTCTGGGAAAAACACTGCATGAGGTGTTCCCTGACTAGCATTTGTAACAGGATGGCTTGTGTCAAAGCACACCTGACAGCTTGGGCTAAAAGCTGTAGAAAAGATATGCAAGTAAATTTTCAGCTCTTACGGCTTATACGTTGGTATTCTAATTGCTTGACAGTAGTAACAATGCTAATTCTATCACTGCTTGAAAATTAATTGGAAGGTGAAGAAAATATATAAACTGTTACTTAAAATGTGCAGTTTGTTACATGTTAGCATTGAGCAGTGATAATGGCTATTTTCACAATGAGGTGGTAAATAGTTGCAATGCCTTTTCAATTTCTGTATTGGGAATGAGATTAAAGCTGTAATTTTACCTTAGTTGGATTTTTTTTAATTGTGTGTGTGTGAAGAGGTAATTACTGCTGGGGGGGAAAGAAATATTTGATTTCTCAGATTTACGTTTTTTAAATTGAATTTAAATTGGAGGCATTTTAATAAAAGCTTTATCAAAATCATTATCTGTGTCCCCCCACCCCATTTGGTGTATGTGGGACTACGTGTGTCTCTGTGTGTGAAATTGTGAGCTTTCTAAGTATCCAAATTTGTATCTTTTAACAGGAGTTGTCCCTCTGGCTACCTACATGCGTATCTACAAGAAGGGTGATATAGTTGATATTAAGGTACTTTGTCCGATGCTATGGAATTGAAAGCTAAAGCGGTGTGATACATTAGTTTCCAGTTTCATGAGGTCAATGTTTCTGTTACTTGGATGATGTCTGTCAGCACAAGCACCCGCTGCTTGCTTTTGAATCAGGAAAAGGATGATAATGCTGCTGAATCTATAGTGTGTGTGTATATTATGTGTGTGTGTATATATATATATAAATAATTTGTGCTCTGTTACTGTGTGTTAAGCTGATCAAAACAAGTGAAAGTTGCCATATCTAATCCAACTTTGTGGTGCCTAACAGCACTACTGTCAGAGGGACCCTAGCTGTCATGTTAGTAGATGTTCTGTTTTTGCCTAATTTGCATCTCCTGTCCAGAAGAGCCATATTTAATGGTCTGTAGCTGTATGTGTCTGTATCATTGTAGGATTATACTTAAAATAAGTATGTACAGGGATGGTGATGGCAAAGCCACATTAAAACTAGAAATCAAGAAACAAATGTAGGCATACATCATATATTAAACAGTAGGGAAAAAGCAAAGTGGCATTTCCCATCACTTGATATTTTCTAGAACTTGTCCTTTAAAATCAATTGTACTTTCAAAATGAAGTTGCAGTTAATCTGACAGCCTTTCACCAAGGAATCCTACTTTGTTGAATCTTTTAGTTTCATTTGAAATGCAGTTTTTGTAACAATCACACAGATGACAGTGTGGATTTTGCTTGTTTCTTACTTGGCTTTTAGAGAACTGCACTGTTAAAGAGTTAACACTTCTTGACACACTGGAGCTTGATGATGATTGTCTCTCATGATTGCTTGCTAAAAGCGAAGTGATCCATCATTTCACCGACACTGAAAGCAACCAGAATTGTCATAGCAGAATTTGGCAGTGTTAGATATAAAATGCATGATTATAAATTCTATTGTACAAACAAAATAGGAGTAATTTTAAATCAATCTCAAGTAATTTGAGATGTATTCTTTAACTTCTGAAACACAAGTTCTTGATGTTGGTTTTGTTGGTTTTTTTTTCCCCCAAGTCAGAGTTTACACTTTGTTCTTGTTCTATCTCTTATCAGGGTATGGGTACTGTTCAAAAAGGTATGCCCCACAAGTGTTACCATGGCAAGACTGGAAGAGTATATAATGTTACTCAGCATGCTGTGGGCATTATTGTTAACAAGCAGGTCAAGTAAGTAGTGACATTCCGTGTATTTAAACTTTGTATTTGGGAAAGTTGATTTGTAATTGCACCCTCCTTTCACTTTACCAGTTAGACAGTTATTGTCTTGATTGGTCATTCAAGGTGGGTAAAGTATATATCCTTTTTATAACCCAAGCAAATGATGCTCATTTGACTTGGATCCTGTCAGAGGAAACAGTTTTTCTTAGCAGCACTTAGTGACATTACCTAATGAGGATTTTTTGCCACCCTTCACATTGATGCTGAAGCTCTTTACAATATTTATTTGTAACTGTATTTAACTGGGTTTTGTGTAATTTAGTCAGAAAAGGACAAGTTGTTTTTCTTACAGTAACTGGACTGGAGTACAGTGGTAGTACATTTCTTCATCTGTATCCCACAAGTTTAAAACGACCTGTTCTTCACCATCTTAATCCTAAATTGTCAACATACTGTTACATATTAATAAGCTTTTATTTCTTTAAGTTATATCTGATTTGCATCTGCAGCAAAATATATTGAGTGATTGTCCTTTAAAGAAAAGTTACCTGTTAGTGAGCTTACAGAGTTATTCATTTAAGGGCCATAAAACTAGCTTTGAACTAGTCTCTTTGCAAGTGCAGTAGATTAAAAACTGATGTCTTTCATAGGGGCAAGATTCTTGCCAAGAGAATTAATGTGCGTATTGAGCATATTAAGCATTCTAAGAGCAGAGACAGCTTTCTGCAGCGTGTGAAGGAGAATGAAAAGAAGAAGAAAGAAGCAAAAGAAAAAGGCATTTGGGTTCAACTGAAACGACAGGTAATATTTTTAATGTAGTTGACACATTGTTGATTCAGTTCACCAAAAAAAAACCCACCAGCTAGAACCAAACCAATTGAGCAGAATGTTTTCTTCTAAAACAACAGTGTTACACTGTAAACTGAACTTTGTCTTTTAAAAAACAACAAAAAACGCATCTCATTAATGAAGCTGCTTGCAGCATTCTGAAAAGTCCAGGTCTGGCAGATTTTGCAGAAGCTATCTTGGTACCACCTTCCCTTGGGTTCACAAGCCTTTGCATGAAATTGCATCTGAGCTGTTTGGTATGTTTGGTGCCTAAACAGAACAGCTTCCTTGCTGGATTGAAATTGTAGCTGTGTTTATGAACAAGGTGATGGATGCTTTCTGTTTGTTGCTGATCTGCAACAGCAGCTCTGGCTGATTTCTACAGTCAGTATTCTGTTTATTTTAGCTGAATTTATCTGCAGGAGTTTCTATTGCAACAATTTAAGAAAAGAGGAGAGAGAAGATAATGGTGGTTTTGTTTGGACCCTAGGGTACATGACTTTATGATAATTTGGACTAGTAAATTGCAGAGGGTAAAGTGATGTTTTATCATTCAGCAACAAAAATCACTTTCTAAGCAGATAATTTACGTACTGTTATTTTTTGAATAAAATTTTAAGACTAGGAATGTCACAAGTGCTATAATGTTTTTAGAACATATTAAATGGTTGCCAAAATGAATTTTGTTTAAGGTTTCATTTGAGTTTTAGTGCTATGAGTTTTGTTTTCATTGTGTTTTTTTCTTTTTACAGCCTGCTCCACCCAGAGAAGCACACTTTGTGAGAACTAATGGCAAGGATCCAGAGCTGCTGGAGCCAATTCCCTACGAATTCATGGCATAATGCACATCTAAAAAAAAATAAACTGAAGATCTGGTTTTGGACAAGTGTATGTGATTGTGGCTGATTCCTTTGTTTTTATGGAACAGATGCTTTAGAAAACTTTCATTGAAGTTTGTTTATTTATCTTACCTGACATAGCGCTTGGTCATTGAAATGATTAATGCACCTTTTGATCATCAGCCTAGTCATTTACATAGATAAAAATCCTGGGAAGCCTGAAACTTGCTGATGTTTAGTGAGGATCATCCTTCTTTGATTACTTAACGAGGCGAGATAAGAGGATGTGCAGTATTTCACCAACAAACTGAGAGCATATACCAAGAGTTGTTCTGTGTCACCTGAAGGTTGAAATATTTTTGTGGTAAGAGGGATAATGGGTATGTGAGTTATTTGATAAAAGGTTTTGGTTAAGAGGTCTCAGATTAATAACAAAGTAAAACTGTGGATGAACTTTTTGAAAGCAATCTCTTGAAAAATGCTTCTGGGTGGATTTTGGTGTTTCCCCATTGTAGCCTGTAAAAGAAGAATTTTATTGATAATTCACAAAAACACACTGCTACCTGCCCAGTGTTTTGTGAATGGACAAACAGCATCAGCCAACTGATTACTAACCAGTGCTGTTTTTGCCAGCTGTTTAAAACAGCGTGAGGCTTGCTGAAGAAATTACTGAAGGTAATGCTAGTAACTAATGCTTAGTTAGCCAAGTAAGTAATGTAAAACTTAACTCCTACATGTAGAGTGTAAAATGCTAAGAGAAGGTAGTGACCTTAAGCAATTTATAGATACTGTTGAAAATTACTGAATAGTGAATTGTAGGACAGCTAGGAAGTTTGGGAATAAAAAGTGGAGAGGTAATGAGGTTTACTTCTCCCATTAATTCTGAAGTGCCTTAAGCAGAAGTGTCAGACTGCACAGATTGCTTTTAACTTGAGTGATAATGCCTTTTTGCATTTACCTAATGTTCAGTTGGGGTGTACCCAGTTTTTGGACACTGACGTAGTTATTTGGTGTGGCCTGGTATTTAAGGGTGACAGGCTTTAGGCACTGGAGGCTCAATGTTCCTGTGAGCAGATACTGCATTTGAAGTTTCTCCAAGCTCCCATGTTGGAATGTGGAGCAGGCTGTATAGTTGGAATGACTTTGGAAATGTCTTGAAGATGGAACAAAGCTTACCCATCAACAAACTGATGGATTAATACTGTATTTTGACATATGTATTGAGCATGGGGTGTACCACTATCTCCTGAAGCAAAGTTGATGAATCTACCTTAACTTTCACTGTTGCAGCTTTTCTACTTAGCTTTTATGATCCCCCCCTTTTATGGAGTTTTCTTTTTTGTGAGACACTGACCCAGATTGTCCAGGGAAGTTGTGGATGCCTCCTCCCTAGCGAGGCCACGTTAGATGGGGCTTGAAGCAACCTGGTCTAGTGGGAGGTGTCCCTGCCCACACGGAGGGTGGAACTAGATTACGTTAAGGCCCCTTTCAAACCAAACTTGTATATTTCTGTCATTCCTGGAGCAGCTATATCTAAGTACTAAGCCTTAGACCTTTAGTAGCTTTTTTAGCTTGTGTATTTCCAAAACAATTTTAAGTCCATAATTGACTCACAAGATAAGCATAATTTTCCATTAGGCTTTGCATCTGAAGTGGGAGGTTTTGCTGGGTACAACTTGGATATTGAATGCTTGTGTAAGTTATTTTGGTTCTGTGTTTGTTTTGTACTTATCTGTTAAGATTCAAGTGGATTAGCTGTAGTATCATGACAAAATGGTTAACAGTAACTAAGTGGTGGGTAAACATTTGAATTTATTTTCCACAACTTGAAATACTAAGACTAGACAGTATGCAATGGCCTCATTTAAGAGCTGTGCTTCCGGAGGTGCTGTGCATTGCAAAAGTTTTCAATTTATTTAGTCTCCATGTTTTTGAGGTCTCTGTGCTGACAGTAGATGCTTTTAAATGCTTATTTGGAAGCTGTGTGTGGGCTGAGAGGAGGAGGGAATGCTTTCCTTAATCAGGGTTCCCAGAAATGACTGAAACTGCATTTGTACAGGAAGAGAATAGCCTTGTTTGGTTTGTTGGTTTTGTTGGTGTTTTGGTTTTTTTAATGTTTGAAAACAGGTCAGATTAACTAAGGTTGTATTGGGTTTACAGCCACTAATTACCTTTTAGTTGCTCTCAGTGTAGTGGTTTCCCTGATATTCTCAGGTTTGCAGAAGCACAGTTCAGGTGTTCACAAATCTGTATCTGCTGTTGGACTTTTGCTTCCAGTGTGTTTGGCTACCCTGCTTTTGCACAGTCCTGACAAGAGAGGGAGATCTCTGAATTGAGAAAAGTTGTTACAGAACTGCCTGTCTGGACATCTTCAGTCAAGAAATTAGTGTCTAAATTGAAATGCATCCTTCTTGATAGAAGGAGAGAGTTTTAGGTCTGTACAAAACCTGGAGAACACTTGGGAGGGATGGGGGATGATTTTGACAGCTAGGCTTCTATTCCCACTGGGGAATATTCTACTTCTGGGTAGAGAAAGAATGTTTCTTTATGGTGTCTGGAGCTGCAAGTTCCTCTCTGACTCGCTTTAGGAGGGTTCTAGGCCAATAAGCTGATTAGTCAGCTAACCCGTTCTTTGCGGTCCTATTCTGAAGTGTTTCCTAGCAAGCAAAACCTAGCAGCAAGTGTGCCAGGTACAGGCTAGGTGGTGTCTCCTCTCTTCATACCATGAGAGGGATGAGTTTTGTTCTTTCCATGATGCTTTGAATTGTGGAGAGCAGTTGTGAAATCTGAAAACCTGTAGGTTTCCCATATAACTGGACATACCTTGAGCTTGCAAAATTCAGGAATTCCCAGTTTAAAAGCCAATTTTTCAGAATTTCAATATGTGTGTTACCTGTCTTCCAGACCCCTTCTGGTGCAGAGACTTCATTATCTCAGAGCTGGTGGACAGGCTGTCCTTGTACAACATGGAGATAGGGAGGTGCTTATGGATTAGCACAAGCAGTTACACTTCATTGTAGTGGTTTGTCTCCATTCCACGGAGCCTAATCAGAAGATGAGGGCTGAGCTGTCTCTTCCTTGCCAGTTTTTGCTTCCTCCAGCCTATGCAGCTGGTTCCCTGCCAAAAGCCTTGCCAAAATCTCCTGTTGTCTCTTAGAGAAGAAGCAAGGAAGCCACCTCCTGAACTTTGTTTTTTTCTGTCAGCTTTGTTTTTTTTAGTGTGTCAGTGACACCAAGACCTGAGGTTTTCTGTAGGCTGTATTGGGAAGGTCAGTGAAAAGGCAGAAAGGACACAGGAGGAGGAGCCATGCCTGTGCAGAGGGACTTCAGGCTGAGGACTCTAGAAGGGAGCAAGTGAAGCATGCATGCCTGAGGGAGACAGATGTGCAGACACCTCTAGCCTCATTCCTTGCGGGGAAGCAGGTGAGCAGTTGTGCTGAGGACATCCGAAAAATTCATGTGTCCGTAGTCTCGTTGGTATTGTATGGGGGAGGCGGTCTTGATCACTCCTGCATCCTTCTAGGTGCAGTCTTGGACTTGGCTCTCCTAATCAAAAGAATGGCTGGCATCCCAGACACAAATGCTCTGCTGGGGTGTCCTGACTGGTTCATGGACGCCAAGAGCTGTGCATACATCTGCCATAGAAAGTGATCCTCCTTGTCCCAGCAGAGACTGCAATGTGCCACTGGTTCCTGTAGCTCAGAGGGTGTGGTGAAAATGAGTGGTTAAACTGGGCTCATCATTGTCTGAGCATCTCATGACTCAGCGTTGTGTTTCCCATGGTGCAGAAGCACTGCTGCTGCAAACAGTCTTCTCCTTGCATGGGAAGAAGGTAGCAGCTGTTGCTGCAATGCTGAGGGTGGTGGTATGGAAGACACAGATGATGATACTTTCATGTCCATGCATCTACGTCAGTGGATGTACTACCAAGGTTTATATAGGAGTCAATTTGTAGCTGCTGGGATTTACATAGTCATAACCATCCTTCCTCAAGTGTTGGGTAGGGAATGTCGCTCCTATCAGCAGCACCCATACAGCTCAGGTACCCAGAAAAATCCAAAGCTTTGGTTGAGGTTGCTGATTTCATTTTCCACTAATTGGAGGAAGAGGCTTTGGGTGATGGCTCCTTGCCCCTCAATCACCTTTTGTCCATGCCAACTCCAAAAGATTCAGCCACTGGTCAGCAGGCATTGGGGAGTGTAAGGAATAGCTGCAGGCTTGAATGTGGGTCTGTGCTCCTAAAAGTTCATAGGAGAGTGGTGAAGTCATGCCAGCTCACAGCAGAGGTTCTCAGCAGTGCTCCTCCACCCATCTTTGTTCCTGGTGCTCGTATCTCACATGGTTCTGCCAGTCTTAAGCCCAAAGCTTAGAGCTGACTCTACAACATCAGCAAAGATTCCCAAGAAAACACTGCATTTTTTTTCTTAGAGGAGAAAAGGAGCTTCACAGGCTCTTTGGATATCTTACTTGCCAGAGCCACAGGAGTGGGCCACCTGCTCCATCCCCCAGAAGTGCCTGCTGTTGAATGTTACCAGAGCTTGGAACAGAGAGGTGGGTCAGATTGCAGTGTGATGTCCCTGGGACTCCATGTGATCAGGACTGAATGGTGGTGCTGTGGGAAAGGGGATAGTGATAGAACATAGGGATGGTGGCATGGGCCATCTGCATAGGATGGGTGAAAATTACAGCCTGAATCTTCCACGTAGGACCTGCAGCCATGAAAGGCTCCTTGGAATAGCTTTGTGGCCTGTACATTTATGGGTTTGCTCAGTCCACAGAATCTGAGCAACCACAAGTGAGGAACCTGAGCCCCAGCTGCTTCAACCTACTGAACTACTCCTGTTGCACCAGAGTAGGTGTTGATGGTGAAACAGCCCGTTGCTCTCTGGAAGTCAATTCCTTCACAGGGTTTGCCACTGTCATCTCTCTGCTTGACGATAACCATTTCCTCAGCAGTAGATGAGGCAGCATGAGGTGTTTAGCTACCCAGAAATAGGGAGTTCTGGGGACGGTGGTTGTTTAATACCGCTGCTTTCACAGCTCAGCGCCTCTTCCATTGTCTGCTGGGAATGGACTCGTTTCAGTAGTGTTCTTCCAAGGGCATACTGAGTGTGCTCTGATACTTCTTTTGTCAAGAAATGTATAAAAATAGCCTGTGTTGGCACTGTGAGCAAGGCTAAAAACAAGTGGTGCTGCATGACAATGGAGCAGATGATAATAGTGTGAACCGCTGGAAACCAAAAGCTTTAAGTGATGTGAGAGAAATCTGGTTTACAAAAAGAAAAAGCTGCACTGGCATGATGGGAAGTGAAGCAGAAATTCTAAAGGCAACCAGTTTTGGAAGTTGAAAGGGATGAACTGTAGGGGTGCTTAAGCACTAAAGTAGCACAAATAATCAACAGCACTTCTGCCACCGTGCTTTTCTGCAGCTGCTACTTTAACTGATGTTAATTAACGTGGTGTTAACTAGTGTGACGTGTGTGCGCAGTCAGCGAAGAGCAGAGTGGAATCGAACTCTGTGCCTACAGGAAGTGGGAAGCAGTTCCTCTCCATCCTTGCCCCAAAGGTTGACTTTCCTCAGGAAGACCCCGGCTGTGGTAGAGCAGATCTGGCAGTGTTAACTGGTGCCCTTGTTCTGAGTTTTTATGTAGCTGGAAGGACTGGGGGTGAGGATGTCCAAAGAAGTGCATAGCAGATAGGGTACCTGGTTGTAGAGAGAAAGTAAAAGGGAGGACATGAGGAAAGGGAGGACGTGAGGAAAAACATGACTTCTTGTCACTATGTGCATCTCCTGAGGGCTGTCGTGGAGGGGAAGGGGAAGGCCAGTGTCACCAGTGCACAGCCCTGCTGTGCAGGTTCAGGGCCAGCTGGGCTGCCCTTGAGCATCAACCCTGTAGCCAGGGCCTAGCAGCTCCTGAAGTGGCTCAGTCCTTGTGGGACCACAGACCCCTCCCACTCCTTTAAAGCCCCGACCTGCTGGCATCTTCCGTATCTTCCATACCTGCTGGCATCTTCCCAGCTTGTTTTTATTTAAAAATAAAGCAGCTCCTGAATGCATTGTTTCTCTAGTAAACACTTAGCCACTTGCAAATCAGTGTGCTACAGAAGTGGTTTTGCAGAGGCCAGAGCAAGGTTTTTCAGGGAGACCAGAGCATCTGTCCACGTTTGATACACATTTAATGGCAGCCTGTGGTGGGCACCATTCTCTGCAACTTTCTTCTGCCTTAAAATCTCACAGGGTTTAATTCAGACCTCAGGACACCACAGGCTGCTTTGGTTTCAGGGCTGCCTGTTGCTTGTTCCACAACAACGCTGGGATTTGAACACCAACTGCAGAGGCATGGATCTGTGTGTGGGTTACAAAACAGCCTGAGATAAAAAGATAAATAGGACAAACTATTTCCCTTCTCATGACTCGAGTCCCTTACTGCACAGAGCAGCAGCCTGTTGCCGTGGTAGGGGCTGGTTTGGGGTGTGGAACTGAACCCTCAGAGGGACTTGTGCTGCCGACTGCCTGCCTCGGGGGAGGGTGGTGGCCGTGGTGCCCACCCCAAACCTGGGCTGCAGGGCACCCTGCCCGCCCAGGCTGTCTCCCACCCCCTGATGGCACCCACCGGAGCCACCGCGCTCCCTGGGCACGGAGAAGGTGGGGACGAAGGGACAGGGGTACGCCCAGGG